TAAGAATTTCAAGTATTTCAACAGACAAGCAGTGGTGAGTATTTTGGAAAATATTAATCATTAAACTAGGCTTCCTGACCAAATACTGTATCTGGTCAATGTTTCTAGAAGCCAAAGGGCTGGGTTTCAAGCTTAGTACAACCTACTAATTTACGATCACAAGTGCAACATCTGCTGTCCAAATGGATGGGTTTATAACCAGAGGAAATTCCATATATTTAGTAATATAAGATCCTAGGCCATTTCTAGCTGCTTATTTATTTTCTTCACTCTATTTCATCTGTCCATCTATAGAAAAATATGAAATTTTTCAGCAGTTCTGGAATTTGGGTCATTCAAGGAGTGGTCACCAGGTGCCAAGTCCTCTCTAGCTACAGGACTTTGCCCCCAAGTGCTCCCAAATTCAAATTCTACCCAGGAACATATATGTGTGTGCTGATATTGTATTACTTACACAAATCTATGGAAAAAAGAATGTCTAATTAATGGAAGCTAAACATCTCTCTTACAGACACACACACCAACCTCCAAAGTAGAAGCAGAGTTATAATGTATGTTTTTTCCCCAGGAATTTTGAAGTTTAACCAAAATGAATCTTTAGTCGTTTTGAAAATGGGCTTGTCTTCAGAGATTTAAGTAGATATTTGATTCAATATTATGTAATGTTGATGATCTTGTGGTGAAACCTTTAAAATAGAAGCAAATAAAAGACCAAAAATAACAAAAAGAAACACTCACTTCACTGATTTAAATATGTTTCTAATTTTAGGATAAAATTGCCAACTTCTGATCCTCAGCCAAAAAGATTAAGCATACCCAGATGTCACAAATATGAATTCAAATATTTACATCACGTCTTAAAAACAATCATTATGTTATTTCCTGCAAAGGCATGGGTTGGTGTATCAAGGGGTCTGATGTATCCAGGAGGAAGGGTTGATATATCAAGGGTTCTGATGTATCCAGTATCTACTGGTTTTTATAGAAATATGGCAGTAAAACAGATGCCCACAAGCTATTTTAACATTTATATTGACGCTCCAAAATGTCATCAGCTTATTGAGGAAATTTTTTAAGTACCTACACTTTTCCCTGACATAAAGCATTTCTAGAGAGTCTACAATTATTAGGTAGCAAATACTATTAATAATAAAAAAGAAATATACCACTGATCCTAAGTTTGTGTTAGTTCAATGCTTAATCCAACTCCAAACTCATTCCCCAGCAAGACCTACTTTAAAATCATGAACTTCGCAGCTACTTGGGTGGATTTAGAGTCTAAGATACTCAGTGATCTATCACAGAGACAAAGAACTGTGTGCCACATGTTCTCACTCATAAGTGGACCCTGAACAATTTTCATAATACTACAAGAAGGAAATTGGCTGTAGTGGGAAAATGCCAGGGGAGGGTGGCAGGGGCACACCTCATCAGTCAGGGTACCTGATCTCAAACCAGGTGAAGTGGGGACCAAAGTGAGGCCCAATCTTTACCTGTACAGTGACCATTTGCATACCTAACCCTGAATTATACCTCACAGCTTTAAAATAAAAAAACTTTTTGAAAAGGATCTCCTTGCCCTGGCCACTTGGGTTTTTCTCCAACATGGGTGACATCTGACTGTAACATCTGTCATCCCCTGGACTGCCAAAGTCAATCTGGATGATCTGGCTGGTTTCTTTCTCTCTTGCATGTTTCTGACTACCTGCCTCTCTTCTAGCTCAAAGAAGTATAGCTCTACAGGGACAAAAGTTATGGAAGCCATGTCTTCCAAGCCCAAAATGAGAATGTACATAGCTTGAGAAGGATGAATGTACTTAAACTTACAATGAGACATAACATTTGAACTGTCTGAAGTATCTAGGATGGGTGGTTGTTAGCCTGAAAAGACGGACAGTCAACATTAAACATCTTCCTAACACTTTCAGGTCCAGAGTTTACTATCTTCAAGCAGTTGTTGCATTTGGATGAGAGATTGAACATTTAAGTCATTTCTAATTTGTGGGACTTATGAGCTTGCTTTTTAAAAATATTCAAATCATTACAATACTTACAGTATTCAAAGTCTATTTCTTTTCTTTCTTTTTTTTTTTTTTTTTTTGAGTTGGAGTCTCACTCTGTCGCCCAGACTGGAGTGCAGTGGCACGTTCCTGACCACTGCAGCCTCGACCTGCTGGGCTCTGGTGATCCTTCCGCCTCAGCCTTCCAAGTAGCCGGAACCACAGGTGTGTGCTACCACAACTGGCTAATTTTTTATTTATTGTAGAGACGAGTTCTCACCAAGTTTCCCAGGAGGGTCTCGAACCCGCGGGCTCAGGCAATCCACTTGGCCTCCCAAAGTGCTGGGATTACAGGCTGAGCCACCAAGCCCAGCCCAAAGTCTATTTCTTAAAGTACACAGATTTAGCCTTCTCAGCTGGTATCACCCTCTTTAGTCACTGGAGACAAGGAGAATCCCTGGGATTGGGGACTGAAGGAGCCAATGTCAAAATAGAGAGTGGGATACAGTGAGACAGCACTTGTCCCCTGGTTTGGGGCAGCTCCCTGAACCTTGATCTGTAGTGGAATGGATTATAGCTGCTGGGTCTGGTATTAGGAAGAGCCTGCCTCAGAACCTGGACTCTCTATTTGGGAACCTTAGCCAGTGGCCAACTTACTGAGCAGCGGGTGCTGAATATCCTTGGAGAGCCACAGGAGGTGGTCAGCGCCATGTCTGCAGTCACCAGTCCTCTGACTTGACCCACAGGCATGCAATCCCATAGCCAAGGCTCCCCAGGGCCATAATTTCCAACCCCATCTCTGAAAGTACAGGGGTGGGTAGAGGGAAATGCTGCACCATGAGAGATGTCAATCCGCTGCTGGATGAGAAGGACAAGAACAATTTGGCAAGTCTGGTGCGTGCAGATAAGGGCAGATCCAGAGAGACAAAGACTCGGTGTGTTTTGCTTCTAAATTTGAGCAATTAGTGTCCCACGTGATCACTCTCCAACATGATAGCTAGGCAGCATTTCTGGAAGAAATATATTTCTAGGAAAGCAGACTGTGGAAATGGTTTTAGGATAGTTTGCTTTATTATACATTTTTTTACAGCTCTTTGTAATATTATACAAACTTAGTCATATCTTAATATTCATCTCATTAACTAGCACTGTTAAAGCAGGATTGTATGAAATAGTATCAGAATTTGGCATCTGAAAAAAAAACCACATGAGAGTTATACAATGACAAATTTCTCCCTGAATGTTTGAGATGGCTCCCACTCTCACTCTGTCCACCTGCAGGTCCACATATCTTAGATAACAGGTATTCTCTGAACTTGAGGTGTGAGAAAAATAAAGGTGGTTTTCCATTATCCCTTCCCCAAGCAGGAGCAATTATTACCTCCAGGGCACAAGTGCTCTTCCCAGAGATGACTGCCAGAGTGCACGATTAGCTACAGGCCTTCACACCTCATGGGACGTGGGAAAATGAAATGGAAACAAGATGGAAGCTGTTATTTTGCTCTTTGGGGAATGAAGCATGAAAACTGTAGGAAGTTGAAGAGTGTTCTCAGAGCCTAACTCTCATGCTCAAGATGAATACGTCTCCAGATAGTCTAAGGCAAAGTCTTCCACTGGTTTATTATAACCAGGCCTGCATGTCTTGGGTTAGAAAACTAGTATTTGAATCAATATTACTTGTGACTGACAAATCTGAGTTCATATTACTGGTGATCTAAACACACTTTGTGGGCCAGGTGTGGTGGCTTATGCCTTTAATCCCACCACTTTGAGAGGCCAAAGCAAGAGAATCACTTGAGGCCAGGTGTTTGAGACTAGTCTGGGCAACATAGCAAGACCCTGTCTCTACAAAAAATTAAAACACACACACGTACACACACACACACACACACACACACACACACACACACACACACACACACATTTTACATCATCACAGTTGAACAACAAGTTATAGGTAAACTTATATATATATATATATATATATATATTTACTTTACTTGCCTGGAAGCAAAAAAGTTCTGAAACTGTTTTAGAAATAGACATATATATCTTAGTCTGCATCATCAAAATCATCAAGCAAACAGAAAATGCATTTGTGACTTCAAGCAGATGGAGACACCCTCAGTCCCTCCTACCTACTGATGGTACTTTATTGGAAAGACATGCCATGTGGGAGGAACTCCAAATCGCCATCATCAGTTGAAGGGGTCCCAAAGTCGAGCACACAAATGCAAAATGAAACATCTTTGCAAGCTATGTCTGTCCAGGGTGCCCAATTAGGAAAAACAGAAAACGAGCGTTCAGCCCTTGACTCTTCCTCCTCTGTCTGTGTACCATTTTATCAGTTGAAGGAACATGTCACCATGGCATCTAGACTTTCTGCAGGATGACGTAAGCAAACATATTTACAAGGACTGAGAAGGCCTGCCTGCCTTAAGCTTCCTTTCTGATCTGAGGAGGGAAAATGGCTGCATTGTCTGGACTCTAACAAACAGAGCAGTTATAAGATCCAGGTGGAAAAGAGATGAGTGGTTAACCTGTTCAAATGGGGGTAAACCACCTAAGACTGGGTGTCAGACACACACGGACGAACCCTACAGCATCCGTGTGCCCTTCTAACGTCACAAGATCAAATGTGCTTTTCTTTTGCATTAAACTTTTTACTTTGTAGATTTGCATGCACTTATAAGAAATAATACAGAAAGACCCTTGTCCTATTTAGCCAATTTTTCCCAATGATAACAATTGCAAAACGATAGTACAGTTATCACGACCAGGATATTGACATGGACGTAATCCACCAACATGTGTTGTGCTTTGAAAATCAATTCAACTATTTGAAAAAGTAGCAGATCCATAGAAGTGCCTCAAGCTGGATTAACAGTCTTCAGATGACGTTTTGTATATTAATAAACAGGCTACTTTGGCAGAGGGAGATGTGGCAGGTACTGGAAAGGCAATGAATCATGGGTTCTTTGAACCCATAAAACTTCTTTTTTACTGACAGCTCTTACTGTAGAAGAGAAACTTCCTTGCACTTTGTTTCAGTCTAGGATTTCCTAAAATTAAGATGAGAGAGTGTCCAGAGGGGTATGTACCAACCACCAACATGCAGAAGAGAAAGACAAAGCTTCTGAGCTGGAAATATTGAGAAGACAGTAAGGCTGCCATCATATAGTGAGAAAAGTACAGGACTAGGAAGGAAAAGATGGATAGCATCGCACTGATGTGGGCACTCCTGCGAGAATCCCTGCTGCCCATCGTTGTGCTTCTCATCTGCCGGGAGTGTTTTCCCAGGGAAAAAATCAAGAGCAGAACTGCAACCAAGAAAATCAGTAAGGGCGTTGAGAACCCAAAGACGAGAAAGGCAAGCTGCAAGGCAGTTACTTCTGTGATTTGAGTTGTCGCGTTTGGGGAGAAAAGGTGCACTGAGAATGCTGGAGGAATACGCCACGTGTAATTGTTTTGGAAAATACAAATGATAGATGTATACAACAGAGTCCCAAGAATCTGCCACGGCACCAACTTGGTTATCCTCATCTTCAACCAAATGAAGAGTGGGTGAGGGACAGTGGCAATCTTGGCGCAGTAGAAAACACCCAGCCATGTGGCAAACCAAAGTTCCGATTCATTTACAAGCATGTGAATTGAAAAATTTGAAGGAAATATAAGCCATTCTATCATGGAGAGAATAACCAGATTAATGTTGAAGATGAGCAATTGCAGACAGAGTCTAGTAATCGCCAGGCAGAAAAGAAGTAGGTTCAATGGAGCCAATTTTCTCTGTTTGATCAAGTCAATGGTGTTCACCACCACAATGAAGCCATTTGCAAAAACCCCAACAAGAAACTGGATCAGCACAAAAAGAAAATAGACGATGAGGTGAAACTCAAGCATCTTAAGAAGAAAAATAATTAGTTACTTTTAAAAATGCTGCAGTTATAGATTTTTGTGTAGTTTGTATTATTCACTTTTCTTCAGTGAGATCAGGACTCCTCGGGGGAACAAGATCCTACTGATAAAGTCAACAGCATAGGAAAGTGATGTACATTTGTTTATGTCACTGCTTTCTCAATTCAGTTCTGAGGCAGTCAAATAAGAAAGAGATACTGTCGCAACAATTTGCTTCTTAGTGATGGCTTTTGCATCTTCTAGATCCACCTACCTAGCTTTCAAAGTCATTACAAACAAAATAGTGGAATTGGACACCTTCAGATGCCGGGGAAGTAGGCTTTCCTGGCAGATAGTCTGCTAAAGTTACTCAATCCTTCGTCTCTACCATGAATAATTAATTTTGCCTACAGGTGTGATTCAACTTAATGCTAATCATATATTTTTAAGACACTTTTTTTCCCCCAAATTATCCTTCTGTTACACTAATGTAACACAACAAGCAATGCAAGACTTCTAAGTAGTAGTTCTCCAATATGCAATGGTTGAGCAATTCAGAAGCATCTAAATTTTTAAATAGTTATAAAATAAAGTATACGTGGTAAAACAAAAAGTGCCATGAAACATAAAAGCAAAGTAAGTAGGTTCATGTTTATGCATCTACACTAGGTCAAAAGCCTAAAGGAAGATCACATGCAACAAAATGAAGAGAAGCACTCAGCACAATTCACCCAGGAATTGTCTGCAGGATAATTAAAACTGTTTCCCTGTTATTTTTCCAAACTAAAAGAATGATACAACATGAGCCGGTGGTTCTGGAAAACAAGAAAAGACAAAACAGTACATGATTAAGTTTGCTGCTATAACTGGTTAACACCTACTTATGGAAAAAATTAAATCTGTAAATATTAACACGGTTACCGTGTCATACATTGTGCTAAAGCAGAGTTTCTCAACTTCCACACTACTGACTTTTTGGGCTAGGTAATTCTTTTTAGAGTAAGGGGCTGTCCTGTGCAATGTAGAAAATGTAGGATGTCTACCGCATCCCTAGCCTTACCCACTAGATGCCATTAGCACTTCCCACCTTTCTGGGCTGTGACACACAAAAGAGTTTCCAGACATTGCCAAATGTCCTGAATGGCAGAACCACTGTTCGAAACACTAGGGGGACAAAGGTGGATAGAATATAATTTCTGTCCTTAGGCTTTCCTAGACTAAAGCCAGAACAAGACACAGGTACAATGTGACATAAAGCTAAGTTGATTCTTTAGACAGATCACCACCAGAGCACAAAGTGGAGAATAATTTATTAAACACTGAGGGAGTGGAAGCTTTTGTAACTCAGTACTTGATCAAATTGTGTCCAGCAAACCCCATAACAAGGCATGTGTCCTATTGGATATGTGTTACTTTGCCTAAACTTGTTATAAAGCATATTTATGGGGAATCTTATTTATAGACAAGTGGAAAGGAACTGTATTTGAAAAAAATAATGGTGAGAGTATATCTCTAGGTTACTTTACTGTTCTTCTCTGAGTATGTAACACTTTTGCCATGTAGGACTCCACTTCATTCTTCTTGTCACAATTACAGTGAGATGAAGGGAACAGACAGGAACATCTTCATGGAGGCATCAAGGAAGGCAGTTCACAAGCAGATGCTACCGGAATAGATCCAAATTCAAGCAGAAAAGGAGAATGAGCCTGTTCTCCCTCTGGTAGAAATGAGAAAGTATCACAAAACTTTCCAATTTTGCATTCTGCAGCCTAGAAAAGCAAAAATGTAAGGGAATCCACCTGTGAAATATGGGCATACCTTGGAGATACCACAATAAAACGAATACTGCAATAAAGTCAATCACATTAATTTCTTGTTTTCCAGTATATATGTATATAAGCTATGTTTATACCATGCTGTAGCCTACCAAGTGTGCAATAGCATTAGGTCTGAAAAACGTGCATATCCTAATTTTAAAAATATTTTATTGCTAAATATCATCTGAGCCTTCAGTGAATCATACTCTTTTTGCTGGTGGAGGGTCTTGCCTCGGTGTTGATGGTTACTGACTGATCAGGGTGGTGGTTGCTGAAAACTGGAGTGATTGTGGTACTTTATTAAAACAAAACAACAACGAAGTTTGCCAGATTGCAAATTTCTTTCATGGAAGATTTGCCTGCAGCTTTCAGTGCCGTTTGATAGAGTTTTACCCAATGTTGAAAGTAGTAGAACTTTCAAAATTGGAATCAGTCCTCTCAAACCCTGCCACTGCTTTACCAACTAAGTTGATGTCATATCCTTAGTCCTTTGTTGTCATTTCAACACTATTCACAACACCATTACGAGGAGTAGATTCCATCTCAAGAAATCACTTCCTTTGCTTATCCATAAGAAACAATCCTTATTCCTTAAATTTTTGCTATCAGAGTGCAGCAATTCAGTCTTATCTTCAGGCTCAACTTCTAATTTTAGTTTTCTTACTATTTCTACCACATCTGTGATTATTACTTCCTCCACTTAAGTCTTGAACCCCTCAAAGTCATCCATAAGGGTAGGAATCAACTTCTTCCAAATTTCTGTTAGTGTTGATACTTTGACCTGCTCCCATGAAAAATAAATGTTCTTAATGGCATCTAGAAAGGTGACTCTTCCTAGGAGATTTCCAATTTATTTGCTTAGATCCATCAGAGGAATCACCACCTATGGCAGCGATAGCCTTATGAAATGTATTTCTTAAATAATAAGACCTCAAAGTCAAAATTACTCTTTGATCCGTGGATTTCAGAGTGGATGCTGTGTTAGTAGACAGGAAAATACCATTCATTTCTGTATACATCTTCATCAGAGCTCTCAGATGATTCGTTACTTTGTCAGTAAGCAGTACTATTTTGGAAGGAACTTTTTTTTTCTGGGCAGTAGGTCTCAACAGTAGAATTAAAATATCCAGTAAATGATGCTGCAAAGAGATGTGCTGTCATGCAGGTTTTGCTCTTCTAATTAAAGAGCATGGGTTTCAGTGTAATTCTAAAGAACCCCAGGGTTTGGGGAATAGTAAATGAGCATTGCATTCAACTTAAAGTCACCAGCTTCATTAGCCCCTAACAAAAGAGTCCTTTGAAGCATCGAAGCCAGGCATTGCCTTTTCTCTGGCTATGAAAGTCCTAGATGGCATCTTCTTCAAGTAGAAGGTTGTTTCATCTGCACTGAAAATCTGTTTATGAGGGTAACCATCTTCATCAATGATCTTAGCCTGATCTTCTGGACAATCTACTGCAACTTCTCCATCAGCACTTGCAACTTCACCTTGTACTTTTTTGTGATGAAGACTGCTTCTTTCCTGAAACTTCATGATCCAATATTTGCTAGCCTCTAACTTTTCTTCCACAGCTTTCCTACCTCTCTCAGCCTTCATATAATTGAAGAGAGTTAGGTCCGCACTCTGAATGGAGCATTGGCTTAAGGGAATATTGTGGCTGTTTGACCTTCTATCTAGACTACTCAAACTTTCTCCATATCAGCAGTAAGGCTGTTTCATTCTCTTATCATTCGTGTGTTCACTGAAGTAGTATTTTCAATTTCCTTTGAGAAATTTTCCTTTGCATTTATATCTTGGCTAACTCTTTGGTGCAAGAGGCTTAGTTTTGGTTTATCACAACTTTGGACATGCCTTCCTCATTAAGCATAATTATTTATAGTTTGACTTAAAGTAAGAGGTGAGACATGCAACTCTCCCTTTCACTTGAACATTAAAGACCAATATATAGTTTTTAATATAAATATAATTTTAATATTATTGTATGTCAGGGAACAGGGAGGCTCAAGAAAAGGGAATAAGATGAGGAATGGCCAGTCAGTGGAGTAGTCAGAAAATACAACACATCAATTAAGTTTGCTTTCTTATATGAGCACATTTTGTGGTGCTCCCAAACAATTACAATAGTAACATCAAATATCACTAATCACAGTTCATCCTAACAGCTGTAAAAATAATGTAAAAGTTTGTGTTATTGTAAGAATTACAAAAATGTTCACAGAGACATGGAGTGAACATAGGTTGTTGGAAAAATGGTACCGATAAACTTGCTTGACACAGGGTTGCCATAAGCACAATGAGGAGTGAATCACAATAAACTGAGGTGTGCTATAAGGAAACTAAGAACTCTCAAAAGTGTAGTTGTCACTTATTCCTAGTTTTCTCTATCAAACTTCTGTCATTGTATTTGTCCTTGCTATTGCAAATCTTGGTTACCTGCCTGTGCCTTGTGAGCCGCAGCTCTGGGAGGGCAAATACCCTGAGCCCTTGGTGGGGCTTCAACATGGCCTGGGCACCTCAATATTGCAAAAAAAACTTAACAGGAACACTGAATGGAGCTGGCAAAAAAAAGAAAACGTTTACATCCTGAGTGTAGAATAACAATATAATCCTTCAGGACTGAGAGAAAACCTGCAGAGATAATGCATAGTACACCAAAGGCCTAAGAGGAGTAACTGTGTCCAATTCTATTTATTAGCATCCTATTTGTCTTTTGGATCCTAGCATCTTGAGGGGGTGTTTGTTTCTCAGATATTCTATTGTAACTTTTGTTAGAACTAGCTTGGGGAGTAGGAGCAATGCTTCATAGAGAACTTTATTTCATTTAGAGCAGGTCTTCTGATGTGGGAATTCCATTGAGTAAAAAAATAAAAATTCATGAGGCTAATTCTACATTTTTTTATTAAATAATTTCTGTTATCATCTCTTCAGTGAGCACACATAGAGGTTGCCGAAGGCACACTGTTTCTGAACAAATGCCATCAACTCACCTGAGACACCTGCTTTTTATACTGAAGGATGGAGGAGGAAGAAGTGTCTGTCCTTACTCCTCCATCTGTGTGACTGATAAACTAATGTCCTCCAAGTCAGTGCTGGGGCAGAGAGCACCAAGAATGTGTTCACCAACCTTCCTTTTAAGATGTTGCCACATCACTCAAAGTGGCCCTGCACTTAGCTAAATACTTTAGCGATC